GGGGGGGGGGGGGGGGAATTCTACACTCCAAGTGGTCGAGAGAGACAATATTCAAAACGAATAAACTACAACAAACGTGTTAGTCTGTCTGTCTCTGCATATTCCCCACATCCCACGGATTCAACTCTCCGCCCCCTCTGCACCCGGAACAACTGTCTCTCTCGACGATGTATGTAGTTTGGAATTAGTTCGTCGCAAGCCGCCAGCACGAAACCACAACGCCAGACCCAGAGATATCTCCTCCCCCTACTAGCAAAAAGCGTACACGGAAGCTCTTCTCATTTGCCTCGTGGCAATCCTCGTTCATCCCCTTTATATTCGGTAAATGTTTCATGAATTTCTTTTTATGGCACCGATCGAATATTCTCTCTCTATTTCATGTCAAATTTCAGCCAAAAATTTGTTAACAGTGCATCTCTCTCCATCTGTCCCTCAAAAATCTCAGATAAAATAATAATGCAACCTCAGTATTAAATCTCTCGTGAATCGCCAAACTATTGCCAAACTGCAGTGCGCGACATTTTTTTAATCCCCAATTGACTCCTTTCCATCGCCTTAAACCAATGATCTCGACACAGACACAACAGCATTGGATTACAGCATTACAGCAATATGCCGTGCAGTTTGTAACGGGGAAGGGAGTTTATAAACGTCGAGTGAGAGAGAGATGGCGGGTAAAAAGTGCATTGCATTGAAAAGAAAGGGACGGTTTCACACAGTTGGTACCCGTTGGCACATTCACCCTTCCTCAGCCAGACGTTTTGATTCGGGCAGCGCTGGTGCAACCACCGGGCGTAAATAGGCTTTAGAAAGCACGTGTGCGCGCAATAGTGGGCGCCTGGTCACTGTATATGTTTATTAACGTTTACTCGTAATGTAACCCACCTCAGAAACGACGGAAATGTGTATGTAGAGAGGTATAAGTACTCTTTAACTCTCATTTTGTTTGAGTCACTGTGGTCTGGATTTTATTAATAGGTAAGACACTGTCTGTTATAGTTATTAACATTTTTTTTCACCGAGTGTTGCAAGCAAGTCGTAAAAGGGGAAATCAGTAAATGTTGTTGGACAATAATTTCCTTGGTTTTCATTTGTCTCAATGGAAAGTGGGGTAAGACGAAATGTCTACAATTGTCAATATCTCCTGACTGAGTAATACGATTCTGATGAATTAAATTTCATTTAGAAGCTTGGAAAATGACTTTTAAAATGAAAAGAACTATTGGGAAATTTCACTTCGCCGCTCTCGAGTTATCGACGATCAAAGAGAGTTCTTATTATCCCATTGTAGAAACCACTGAGACAGAGTGGATTTAATTGCAATGCTTGTAAATATTTTCAAAAGTATTTATTAATTTTCCATCAGATATTCACATTAAAGTCCGGCAAAGCCGTGGAATACTCATCGTTCACAAACTACACGCCCCAGTTTCTATGGCGGACATGTAGCTGCGACAGCTGGACCGTGAGTTCGCTCGAGCCATTTTCATTTCCATCCGAAGTACCCCGAAAAACCCTCCCCACTCGTAAACTCCCCCTCACATCTTTTCCAAAAGCTCCGTTTGTCCACTCATCCTCACTTCATCTCCTTTTTTTTTTGTTTTTTTATCGAAAAAACTCTCCACCCGAGTATTCCAAGTTTCAAACGACAATCCATGAAACCTATACGGTGCATTATATTCCAGAGCTCGAGTCAAATTCTGATGTAATCAACGAATTAATTCAGTTCGAACAGCCGACGCTAGTGTCGAGAAAGTTACGTGACCCGATGTCTCTCTCGAGCCGAAATAAAAAAGAAGAAATAAAGCCGGAGAAATCCGTCCTGATTTCCTGTCACAAACTTCAGTCTGTGTCAAAATCCAATAGGTGGGCCATTATATCGGGCAGCCGCTTGCTCAAGCACAAATCTTTTCTATTCTCCTGTATTTAAAAATGAAAGAGAAGAAAAAGCCGTTGAGTAAGAGAATAGTGTCAATAGAACTTTGGGTTCGAGGCAAGGTCAACCGTTTAGCGAATAACGAAGGCCATCCATTATGATGTTAAAGCGACGGAGTTGTCGTTAAGCGTTGCGAAAAAAAAACGACGCCTCCAATTATATTTGTGTGTGTACTGTGTGGCCTAAAAGCCACGGCCGTGGTTTTCAAGAAGAGTCTTTGGTTTTCCGCCGTTGTAAAAGGCCCTCCTTCCCCCTCTTGAACCGCTCTCTCCTCTCCTTTTTTCTCGAGGGTTTACATTTACTGGTGTAAACATTAGGCCTCCTCGGTAAATGCTCCCCCGGGTGCATCCACGTGTTTTAGATCATCTGTTGTGATGAGGATTGGCGTGAAACGGGCTCGAAACCTGACGTCCTCATGAGATAATTTCTATTTTTCCAAGTCCATGCTCGTCAGGTGTCGTTAAAAATTCATGACAGTGATTGAAATTTCGTGATTAGCCTGGATTTTGGGTTAATTATTTCAGTGTCACTCGGAAGTAGTATTTGATTGATTCATTTGATTGGAAAGTAGAAAGACCTCGAAATTCAACTCGAAGACTAACAGAATCTCATTAGCTTTGATTATAATGTGAATATATAGTTGAAATTTGAGGGTCATTAATTTAGAAAATTGATAATTTTTTTCTTTTGTGATCCCCGTTACCCTTGGAACGTTGTTGACCCCTGCTGACACTTGTTCCAAGGGCCAAAAGCTTGAATTTCGATTATTTATATTCCTGGCCGAGAGGTGAATAAATGAGGAATAAAGTTGGTTTAACCAAATAAAAATTGATTTCGGAAAAAGTTGACTTTCTCCCTCCGTAAATCCAAGATCTGGCCATCAGCTTGATACTCTGTTGATCTAATAATACTCCTCGAGGACTATAACATTGTCAACAACATTCAGATGATCCTTCAACTCAATGGGGAACAATATACAACAGCAGATGAGTGATCCTCAAGTTGGAGCCAATCCAAGAAAGAAAGTAGCCAAGAAAGTGCCTCATTGAATCAATCGTCTCGGTCGGTAAGGACGTGTATAATACCATTGCCACATTGCCATCACTTTTCTTGTTTACGATAAAGCGTACTGTCTTCGTGAGTACATTGATGCATGTGTACGTGTCTCCCTTCGCTTTCGGTGCACCGGCGCATACGTACGATGCCCGCACGTGCCACTGCACGTGCTCTCGCCAGTTAACGCTTGTGAGAGGCCTTAGCCTATTACTTACCAAAACTGAAGAAATAATGCAGCCTCGAGTGATGGTGAATCCAGGAAAGAGGGGAAAATAGGTGACAAGTTGCGTATAGAAGGCACTGAGGATGAAAAAGCTTTTGCTTTTTTGAGTTAAACCCATACACCCATGGCCGCTCGTTAAAGGGGGTCAAGGGGACCTTTTGCCCCGGGCCAACCGCTCTCCTTCCGTCCTTTATTAATAAACTCGTTTTCTTTACCCCATTAAGAATACTAAAATTATCACCAAATATTACAAAATACTTACGAAACTTGTTTTATTCTCATTCTGCTGATTTTTTCGGAAGTACAACAACATGTGACTGTAATTGTTTAATGGTATCAAGTGAAGCAAGTTCAGTGTCATCAAAATAATCACATTATAATGAGGTCTAATTGATGAATTACCCAATCCCAATTGTCAACTACCACCAATTCAGGACAATTACTGATCGTCTAGAAAAATATACTCCAAGGGAGAACTTAATTCGTTATTCTTCATGTCTTTTGCATTGTCACTTGTACCAGTGAAAATATCTCCCACAATAGTTGAAAAAACCTTCAGCCTCCAATTCCCAAGGAAAATAAACCTAATCCCACCTTTAAAAAAAACGTAGTTCCACAACAAAGGGCGCTTTGGGGGATGTTCGTTTCTCATTTCCTGCGCCCCTGTCTCCCTCATCTGAAAATCCAGTGCTCAGTGGTATCTCCTCCTCACCACGAGGTCGCACACGACTGCGCGGCAATGCTCACAATTGTTGGAGGGGGTTTAAACCGAGGGCTGAGCCAGGCTCAACCCACTACTGCTAGCCGATTCCACACGAGGTGGCCCGACGTCTCCCACACACGATCGCCCATCGCCTCAACGTCACTACATATCCCAATTGAGAGTGGGGGTAACCGGTGAGGCTTTCAACGGTTGCCTCAGTCGTGCCACTACCGAGGTCGGCGTCGGAGTCGGAGTCGAGACTCGTGATCCATACAGTCGTCCGAGCCGCTTCGCCGCAAGCGCCAGATCACGAAACCCTCTCCATCTTTTCTGTTCTATTCAGTTGATTACAATTCTCCTCTCCCCCAACTCCCTCAACGTACTTAACACCAACAAAATCAAAGTTCAATCACCACTGGAAGATAAATCGCTGGGATCACCGTGTTCCTCCACCAATTCCCAAAGGATAAAAAAAGTTGTCTAGTTTTGTGAGTTTACACGGAAAACCACAAAATACCAAGTGAGTGTGCCAGTGATAAGTTAATCAACAATTGCCAAGAGAAAAGAAAAGTCTCGTTCAATTGATCATCACGGATTTGAGTGTAAATGATCAAATTGTCATTAGTGCTTAGAGAGAGTAGAGGGTGGATATGACAGGCTCGTTGACCACCCACAAATTAACATTATCAAATCGTGCGCATGTGTCCAGTGGGATTTAACAACAAAACTCTGGTCGCCTATCTGGATACCTTGACGACACCACCAGCTGGACTGTCTCATGTCAGGATGGCGCTGGCGCGGTACGTTCAAGTCTTCACACAATCAGTTGAAGCTAGTCCCACAATTTTCAACACACCACACGTACATATGAAAATCAACCTCCAAATTGGGTTCTCAGTTTTATGAATTATTAGGGACCAAGTGGAGAGATAAAATGAGAGAGAGAGAGAGGGAGAAGAAAAAAATCCATGAGTGACAATTAAGGTCGAGTGCGAATGAGTTCAGCTCAGTGGGGGCAGACGCGCTTGTTGTATACGAAGGCAAAACCAGCCGCGTAGCCTCGTTAAAGCTCGTGCGCCACGGCGTTGGAGCTCTCCAATTGCTTCGAAAATTATTATCGGCCGCGATTCAAACCCGGATCGACCTCCTTGTAACCTCAAGCCCGTTATTTACGGCCCGAGAGTTAGAGCCGTCGTCTCCTCCCTCTCCCTCCCCCTCCCCCAACCCTCATTTAAACATTTCGATTTCTCCTCGATGCCATCGCCACATCTACTAAACACCCGCCCCAGTGTTTATTTTCGAATTCGCATTCTCAAAGACGTGGAAATCTCAAGTGATCGCTCTCAATGCAATCCTCCCCTTTTCACTTTAATTTGGTCTGCGGTTAGATATTCTCATCTGCTCCATTCCTCCGGATTTTTCCTCATCACTTGTTAATGAAGGATGCACCCACTTGTGAGGAGGTTGTGAAAAACGTATGGGAGGGACGTGTATTCATTGGGTGCATTCTATTCGAAAGTTTTAACATTCTGACGACAGCTGGATACTTTCAAGGCAACTGATGACATTTTGAATCGAGTCAAGAGGGAAGGGGGGGGGGATATTTTGTATTTATTGTTGGGTGTCATTGTTTCTTTGTCTCGTTGTGGAAGATAAGAGTTATCTCGGATTTATTCATCCAGAACAGAACATAACACAAATCACGTGAATTAATCACGAGGCTATCTCGATGCATTTTAAAGGAATTGTGAATTCTCCACCATGCATAATGATAAATTGAATCTGTCTTTTCTGACCACTTTGTCCTCAGTTTCCTGCTCAATGCGGTGGGCAAAGGCATGCTTGGTGATTCATACTGGAGGGTCATAAAGGCTCCTTTCTAGTTCCGGTGGGTAGATAAAAAGTGAGAAAAGAAAAAAAAACATGTGAGTAAATGCACTCTGTGCGCAGGGGTTATTAATTCTCGGGGGTTTGACATTGAAAAATTGGAGGGGAATTAAAATTAACGGATGGTTTTGGCATCGATGCGACACAAACAGAATTAGAATGTAGGAAATTGGCGGTGTGTGTGGTATCAACTGGTTGAACGACTGTTTGAGGAAGAGATGATGGAGGGGAATAACAATGAATGTTAAACAGCTGAGACAGAGCTGGTGTTGTACCTTTTCCGCAATCGTCATTCGTTAATTGCCCATTCTAATTCTCATTTGGTCTTGTGATCAATTTATTCACGATAACTTTATGATTAATATCCGGGAGTTGATGAATTTATGCGAGAAAAAATTTAATGACGTCGTCCAATCATCGACAATCGTTTTTATTAGCATTTTTAGTGTGAAAATGACATTTTTTTCGTTATTATTTTAGAAGCTCAGGTTATTTTATATACGAATTATTCATGGAAAATGAGCATAAAAATTTTCTCAAGTTCACTTATAATCGCACTTAAACCACGTGTCGCACGTTTCATCAATTTCCGAGGTCGGCAGCACTCTCGCGTCACGCTGTTTATTTCCCTTTCCTCACAGTCGTACACACTTTTTACTAAACACGTGGAGCATGTCACCTCCACTGAAGCTCATGAATTTTCCGCATTTAATTTAATTGTTTTTCTGATTATTCAACTGCGTATTTCATGGAAACAATTTAATTCAGCGATCAATTCGACCTTTGAACATGATTTTTCGTTTAGTCGTTACTTGTAGCCACTGGACGTCATTATCGATCGGCATTCAGCCCCCGGAGTTGTTCTCAAACTGGAAGAAAAAAAAATATTGTACTGAGAAACTCGCGGAGAACTGGGCGTCCTTTGTTCAACGCCGGACGCAGCTGTCGATTTATCGTCGACCTTCTCGTCTCTCTGTCTTCACACACTCTAGTGACACTGGTTTTTCATTTTTTTTTCTCCACAAATAAAAGTATCAATCGAGAGTAAATGAAAAACATTGCAGGTTTTTTAAAGGTACCATTGAAAAAGTTCCCTTTAAACTCGACAGGGAAGCGAGTAAATGTCGCTCTGAATGCTTCCAATCAATTTAATCAATCTGAATCGCAGATAAAGCGCAAAATTCAACTGCCATTTTTCAAAACCCATCGCAACTGCAACTTAATCAATGACAGACTCGTGCGGCATTCAGTGGAAGTCCAGTGCACAAAGCGCTGGTGAACAAAAAAAAGGGGAGTAAGAGAGAAGAGAGTAAACTGGAAGGGTAAAGCGTGTGTCCTCGGCGTTGGTTAACCTTCGTTTCAAGGGTACAGGGCCGTCCATGGTTCTCTCAAGCCGACTACAACCGTTAACCCTTCTATTCCTCATCCACTCCCGCCATTTTCATACATCTAAAATTCACAACAACTCTCATCTCCACTTGACGTCTTTTCACATCTATTCACCATCTAATTACGAAATTAAGATTAAAAGGTAGAATTTTGACGTGATGCAACTGGAATTTTACGGAAGTGAAAATAAACATTGCATAATCGTCAACACTGCAACATTTTATTCGCCGTAAAACCGTTTATTACCCCATCCCACTCGTTTCACGCGTCTTCAATCATGTCCCCTCGTTTCAACTTCAAACCGAAGGTAAAAAAAATGTCTCGTTCGGTGAAATGTTCATTCGCGTCCCAAATGTTCGCTTCTGCAACCTCTCTCACTCCTTTTGATAGTTTTTTTCCCCTCTCGTTTCCTTGATTTTTTTCCCTTTATCGTGAAGTTAACCCCCGTGGAAGCTCGGGAAGGCTTCTACTAACTATGGTCGAAGGCACGTCTTGCCTCCTTGTCCTTGTTCCCTCTTTGTGGTCGCTCTCTGGTTCTTCTCGTTCCAGCGGTCGTACAGGGGCCACTGCCCCTGGGACGTGGGATACCGGACGACCTTGGGACTCATGGCCAATTTGCGAGGTCCTACGACAGGGATGGAGAGGGGGGGAGATATATACCACTACAGGCCCTTTATACATCGTGCCGCTGATATCACAACTATTGGGGAATATTTACTTTTGAGATTTATCTTTTTATTGCCTCCTTTTGAGGCACGAAAAATCGTAAAAAACTATATTGCATAAACTCTTCCATTTTTGAAGGTTTTTACGGTTTCTAAAACTCGGAAAAAAAATACCTCAACACTTTGTCATGATTTATGATGATATTTTTCCACTGCTAAATGTCGGAGAAATATTTCAACTGTACAAAGTGTTGCAGGTTGATTCAATTGAGTCGTTAAATTCTTTTTCTTCATTGGCATTCGTTGGTAATTGAGACATTACCGAGTTTAGATTATTTATAAGTGCGACAGCAACTGCACAAAGTGCAAGAAAACAATTTTAATTCATGAATTTCATGGAATGATGATGATTATTATCATCAGGATGCGGCTTCGGATAACGAGAAAACCGGGTTCCTTGAATCATTCGTACCAGTTGAAGCCAGTGGAATTTGTGTTATCGTCAGTCACTGACAGAGTAAGAGAGAGAGAGAGAGAGAGAGAGAGAGAGGGATAAGTTGTCGCTTAAGTCCTGACGCATTGAATTACTGATAGCTACATTTCGTTATGTTCATTATCGAGTCATAAATCTTATCGTTTTGTTGATTATTTTTTTCACTGATTGTGAGACATTTTGCAGCCATAGTTAGCAGGAATTTATGAATTCTCCTTTGTCCAGTTTTTTTAATGAAGAAACAATGATTGCATTCATTCAATTTTTGTCCAATTAAATCAAGAAATGGATGCATTGATCTCATGATATTTTCCAAAAACCTCGAGATTCCATTCCAAGCAATTTTCGAGGATAAAAAATTGTCTTCAATTTCCGTAATGACGAAAAAAAACGAGAGAAAGCCAAAACTCGAGGGTCTATAATTTTCATGCCAATAGTAGTTGCAGCGTAAGTCGTGCGATGGTGACTAATAGCCATAGATTTATATGCGGTGAGAGTTGATTTATCGAATGGGCCTCGAGGGCTTCTCCACACAACAGTCAACCCGAGACTGGGCATCGGTGGGATATACAGTGAGAAGGGGATCACGATATACCTGTCCCTGCGAAAGCGAAAACCGTAGGAAAGTAGACGGCATAAACTCGCGGTCTAATCTGCGAATAATGGCGAACGCGATACATTTTAAAACCCAATGGCAATCGATTTCACTGCATACTCTCTTCAAAAAGGGAAATAAAAAAAATTATTTCTCCCTCTTGAATGCTATCGAAACACGCGAGTGCACTCGAGCCTAGGATTTATATCTCACGTGTCCTGACGCTGATTTATCTTCCTCTGATTCCCGCCGGGTGCAGCTTTAATCTTTCGTTAACGGCCGAGTCGATTTTTTACCCTGCCCAGAGGGAGAGATGAAGAGTGAGAATCAAACGATTGCTCAATGGACAATTTTTTTATTTCTATCTAGAAGTCAATTTGTTCTTGTACTTCAAACGATAAAATTAGCCACGACAGTGTTAACATAATGCCAAGTGTGGCGTGTCAGCTCGAAGCTGTCTCGTGCCTGCCCTTGAGGAGTGTTAGCCTTTGTCTTATCACAACTCGGGGCTCGGTAAAGCCAACTAGCCTTGACTTCACGCGCGCGCACTAATGTTCGTGTACTGACTTTCCTGCGGTACATTGGGTCCCTCTCAATATACATTCAACCTAAAGACAATCTGTTCAAATATTCTTTGTATGTAGATCTCGAGTCAATAATTTCCCTAAAATTCAGTTATAATTGCTTCAAATCATTGCCATAATGCAGATATTTCTTCACTTGATTCTATTCAATAAGAAAATTGGTGCAACAAGCCTATTGGTTTATTTTCATCTAGCGCCCAGAAAGCGAAACTGAATTTCATCAATTTTTTTTCTCTCTCTCCATTTTCCTTTTCTCTTTCTATCACATTATGATCGACCCGGACACACTGGTAATACCAGTTCTCTTCGCTTCACATTGATTCAAATCTGACCTTAATTATGCCAATGCTCATGCAGAGTTCACTGCAGATTAAGTAAAGGAGAAAATGTTATTGGGTTTAATTCGATTCTCGCGGATTCAATTGAATTGGATTAATAATTTCCCACGAGGTAGAGAGAAAAACGGTAACCGCGCGGAGTGGAGGGGGGGGGGGAATGATTGGTCGTGTCGGATAAAATTGAACAATTAATGTGGCGCTTGTGATGCGTCGGCAGTGCAGACCAAAGTGGCACAGAAATGTATTTATTCCTGGGGTTGATTTGGCAAGCGCCACGACTCTCAACTGCCACTATAATTACGAGCGTTTCCAAAGCGCTCTATAGGCAGTTTTCACTCGACTTCCTCGTTTTCACCCGTTCTACTTTCCCTTGGACAACTCCGAACTCAGTTGAAACCGCCTCCACACTGATTGAAGTCGTCGTTTCAAAGTTATTTTTTCTTATTATTAATTAATACCGATCAATCGCAGTTGTTTGAGTACAACTATCTCTATTTGGATTTTTTCCCTCCTCTGTTTTCTAATTGTCTGAATTTTCTAAGAAAAAGAAGGGTATTAGGCTTGGGCACTTTCTACAAACGTGGGTGAAAGTTGGGAGTTCCTGTGAGAATTTAGTTTCAATTTTACCAATTTTCAACTTGAATTGAAAATGAAGAAATGGGCAAATTGTATTTTTTATTGAATTAAAATAATCCATACAATTCCCGATAGAAAATTATTTGGGAATTCCTCTGAACTCCTTCATTTCCCCATTATTCTCAAAATAATCAGCAAATTAATTCCAAACTCATACTTCCAAGAATCTGAAAACGACTTTCGCCAACTCGTCCACATCTCCATTTTCCCATATTCCCCGCATTCTGAAATTCATTTTTCACTTGAAAATGGAAACCCAGCGGCTCAAAGGCCCTCTTCAATTCCACCCCAGCATTAAGAATGAAAAAAACCCATAGAAATATTTCCAAGCAGATGAAAAAAACAGAATGGAAATAGTGAGAAGGGCTGACTAACTCAGGAAATAAAGGGAATGCGCGGGTAGAGCCATTGGCCTGGGTGAACACATGCACCAGCACATGTACAACAACTAAAAAGGTATCCCACCGGCAGGTCCGATGAACCTGCGGGGCTAATGCACTCTCCATGACACTCGGAGTAGTTTCCGACGGGCAAAAAAACTTTGCGTGCAAGCAGCCCAAGACTCGTGAGGACAACTCAACCCTATCTCCCTTCGACGATTCTATGTTTTTTTTCATACTCCACCCCTTTCACTTTCACCCCAGAATTTTAGATAAAAATATTGGCAGTGTGTGAGAAAGTTGAAGTTGCACACCTCGTTTTCCCTCATTCAGTTATTCATCTGGATCGATTGAATTCAATGTCTCGTCTCATTATTTTCATTCGCTCATGATGATAGTAACTATTTTGGTTTGTGGAGCCTTTGTAATGAATTTTAATGCCCCGAAAAAGTTTGCAATTTTTAAAATTTAATTTAGCTCGATTGTTGAAAAATAATATTGTAACTTGATCATCCAATTATTCCGACCAGAAAACAATAATGAAAAACCTATATTGTGGTCCGAAGAACCTGATGGGGGCTAAAACGTACGCGGTAGTTCCGTGCTTGGCTGCACGTGAACACTCTTCGTTTCTCTATCTCGCTTCATTCCTTCCATGAATCAGTCGATGACCCCTCGTCCCTCGACCCAAAAAACAGACCCATTAGAAGTGACTATTAGGTTTATTACATTCTTAATATTCTGGGGATATTTGGAGAAAATACATTGAAATAATGGCTTACTGTTTTGTGTTATTATAGACTTGCGGTGAGCGACTGTGCGCCTCAGACGTCGCGGGTCAGCTCAAACTTGCACAGCAGCAGTAGTATGGCGGTGAGCCGGGTCCCGAGCCCTCCGCCGCCCGAAGTAAACACTCCAGTTGCCGAAAATTGGTGTTACACACAGGTATGTACCTCTTATATTTTACAAATGATTTTTTTAACGACAGGCAACTTGCATGAATTTTTTCCATTTTTTTAACTCAATTTTTCATTTATGAACATTAGCATTCATGAACTATTGCTCGTTAATTGATAATTGATTAGCGAGAGGTCGACAGAATAATTTGACACGTACAAAATTTTCCCATTAAAATATTCGAATGAAAATGAATTTGTCAGAAAATTATAGAAAACCATCACTCGAAATAATTGAATTACAAATGAAATCAAATTAGCGTCTCGTATTTTCGGATGAATCTCATGTCGCGTAAACACACCGAGTGCGTACATCTATTTTTAAATTGGCTCGCTCACCAAGTGAATGACCTGCAACTAGATCCCTCCGCGCATTTAGTGACCGCAGAGTGACACGATTTGTGAATAAAATTGGATGAAAAAAAATGAAGTGGGCTCCCTCCAATCGCACATATATATTCGTCGATGCAGCGGACGGTTGGGAATCCTTCGGTAACCGGAAGTAACGAGCGTGTCTGGTGGTTGAACCCCTGTGCGCGTCACGTCCGTAGACGGCTATCCACGGGAGGATGATTCAAGGCCGATTGGCGCGAGCGCCGGTGACGGAGGCAAGAGAGTTGAACGACACTCGCGGGCCGTCGACCCCTCTCTTTCTCTCTCTCTCTCTCTCTCCCTCCTCTCCCTCAATTTGATTCACCGGCACCTGTATGCGCCTTTTGTAAATCACAAAATCATCCTATTCCAATTTCCTTCAAATGTCACCCGAGGACGAGGGGAGGTCGCTGACCCCTCGCTCGTACGTAATGCTGTAACAACTTTTAAACTTCCATTTCTTCTCCTTCGTGTTACAGATTTTATGGGGGTATTCACTGTTTGATACAACTGAATAACTGTTTAATTAATTTCGAGTTCTCGGGTAATTGTTGGGGGTCGATGACCTGCCCCAAATGTCAAGAGATTTGTTCGGGGGATATTATCAGCGAGTGTTGTCCTTATTTGGTTGATAACAAGTTTATGAGATTATTTTGCGAATTTCGCAGGAACTTGTGGCTTTAGCGAAAATTTTAATTCTGATATTTTTTAATTCCCCTGTAAAGTTGAAACTCATGGAAAATTTGATTTAAATTCGCCCAATTCCCTCATTAAATACCTCACCCCCGAAAAAATCTTAAATCTCACAAATGGCCAATAATAATTCAAGTAATCCATCCTCATCTACACAAGACCTGAGGGGGCGTCGACCGCATGAATTCCTGCGTTACCTTCCGGCGTGTGCTCACCTGTAACACGCGAATTCCCCCGGAGCCAGTCTCACCACACGGAAAACCATGTTTTCAAGGCTCTTTACACAGTGGTAACGATCGATTGCGTCCCCCTCTTCTCTTCACCCATTATTTCCGTAAATTTTATTTGAGGCTATCGCACAATGACTCCAATGATAACCGAGGTCATTGGCCCATCAAGGCTCCCCAACGGCTCTCCAAGAGGCAATGGTGATAGATAAAAAAATATTAGCAATAGATTTGGCGCTCGAGTTAGGTCCGTTCGCCAAGGTCACCTGACGTCAGGGATCATTGACTCCGCGGGAGCTCGACCTCGTCTCTCCCCCCCCCCCGCTCTTTTTTTTAACGACTCATCATCTTATTCACCTCTTACGTCTGTGCAGAATCAATCAAATCCTCAGTGAGGTCAAAAGCCCCCAAAAATCCTGGCTAAATGTGCAAAAACCATTGCCGAACGGGAATGATAAATTAATTCCGAGGGCAAATACCAATTATTATGCTCATTGTTATCGTAGGAATGTCAACGATACACCGTTACACCCGTATCACGTTGTCCAACTATCCCAAGTGCTTACGTAAATGACCACTGATTCCAATGTCCCTGACTTCGGCACGTGGAAAATACTTTTTTAAATAGTGTTTGTACTGTTCGTGTGTCACTCATTTATACATTTTTCATTTTTCTACTGCTACGATACTCGACCGTGAAATTGTTCGACAACGTCACTCAACCCTGAGGGTGGCTGGTGAGGTGGGAGGCGCACACGTTTTAATGTAGAGACCTGAGTATTCTTGAACGACGGGTGTCCTTTTGTCTTTTAATTTGGCCGTGACTATTCGCACCATTGCGTGAATCACTCCCGTACTCCCGTACTCCTAGACCCCACTGGACAATGTTGTCACAATTGCGCTTTTCAATTGAAAACAGACATCATCTTCAGAGAGATTTGTCATTTTTAAAGACTTCTGCACGCCATTTCTCGACCCGCTCTTTCATTTGAGCCAAAAAAAACATTCATATCTTGTCTGACATCTCTGCTACAAACTCTGGTCATCAACTCTGGTTTTCAGTTGAAATTGGAATTGTTAATTTACACAATAATAGGAGTGCATTGACGATTTTTTCTCAACTCGCAAAAATCTTCAAACAATTTGCTACCGATTGGTGATAAAATTTTGTGGAAATAATGAAATAGGGGGGATAACGCCTTTTTTACAGGGGTGATTTTTCAAAAATTTATTTAAAAAAAAACGAATTTCCTCAGGAATCGAATGAAATAGGTTTTAAGGCTCTATCTCTCATAGTTTCCGAGATAATCGCGAAAAACGAAAATGCAAAAAAAAATTAATTTAATTCATCTTGTATAGGGTGTAGGAAGTGGAAAAACGCAATTCTGATCCATCCATCTGCCTATAGGGGCANGTGATAAAATTTTGTGGAAATAATGAAATAGGGGGGATAACGCCTTTTTTACAGGGGTGATTTTTCAAAAATTTATTTAAAAAAAAACGAATTTCCTCAGGAATCGAATGAAATAGGTTTTAAGGCTCTATCTCTCATAGTTTCCGAGATAATCGCGAAAAACGAAAATGCCAAAAAAAATTAATTTAATTCATCTTGTATAGGGTGTAGGAAGTGGAAAAACGCAATTCTGAGC